TTGATGAGAGATGGGTAAAAAAATGAAATTTGCGAGAGGATGAAGATGATATCCCTTCCCGATAAATATCAACAAGCGGTAGAAGGGCTAGTGATGCTGGGTGATGGTTGAAGGTTTGAGGTCCATCCGCAATGTGAATTATTCTTTTCTTTTCATTTATGTACACCAAGTGTTTGACAAAATGACCAAACAATTTTCTTAATTTTTCTTACACTACTTGTTGGGAAACCTATTACAAAGGATACTATTTGATGTTTGAACCTAATCTATGTAAGAATTGATCAGTTTAAGAATAGGCACTAGCACATGAGCTCAATAGTCATCAGAGATGGCAATTGATCGAATTGAGCTCGATTCGTGTCCAAAAATGTTGCTCCATTCAACCCATGGTCCGTGGGTCTCACTGGCATGACATTCGTTTCAACTGCTNTTTTTTTTTTTTTAATTCATTTCATACCTTTCACCAAATATTTAGTTTAAGATTCCCTCTATTGGAATTGGCTCTGTATCAGTGGAATCTCATTATCCATATATAATGAATTGGTATGGATCATAATGATTGGGTCGGACTCTAAAGAATTGGAATGCTCATTACGCTTCGAATTCTCGACTACAAATAACAACGTTGAGTATGAGGCAGTGATCATGGGCCTAGGCCTAACACCAGACTGGAGGTATCTTCGGTAGAGATTTGTTGCGACTCTCTATTGATAGTTGGGCAGTTGATGGAGGAATTCAAAGCAAAGGATGGGATCGATCGTCCTATGTGACGATGGGTGGGTCAACACACTCGTGCTCTCATCTTTGCTTTCACTCTAATTGATCAAATTATGAAAATCATTAAGTCTATATTTGAATACAATTTATATATTGATTACAAATTCAGTCAATAGCAAACATGAATTTTAACCAAACATTTATAATTATTTTTTATTATTATCAATACAGTTTATGCAATCCATTATTCTTCTTCTTTATGAATTTACCAACCAGATGCTATATAATTACATAAATATGCACACACAAAAATTTGGGGGGGGGGGGGGGGGGGGAATTTCCCCCAGAAAACCAAACCTACTCATGGGGCGCCATGTGTATAATGTTGTTGCCACCCATCTCCACTTGAACTGCTCGACCCACTTATATTAAACTAACTATTGATGAGAGATGGGTAAAAAAATGAAATTTGCGAGAGGATGAAGATGATATCCCTTCCCGATAAATATCAACAAGCGGTAGAAGGGCTAGTGATGCTGGGTGATGGTTGAAGGTTTGAGGTCCATCCGCAATGTGAATTATTCTTTTCTTTTCATTTATGTACACCAAGTGTTTGACAAAATGACCAAACAATTTTCTTAATTTTTCTTACACTACTTGTTGGGAAACCTATTACAAAGGATACTATTTGATGTTTGAACCTAATCTATGTAACAATTGATCAGTTTAAGAATAGGCACTAGCACATGAGCTCAATAGTCATCAGAGATGGCAATTGATCGAATCGAGCTCGATTCGTGTCCAAAAATGTTGCTCCATTCAACCCATGGTCCGTGGGTCTCACTGGCATGACATTCGTTTCAACTGCTCACTAAAATTTTAGATATCGAGTTTTGACTCATGGAATGCACATGTATCGCCAAAACGCCACTACCCAACCAATCACAGCATACCAAATTGTCAAGTGAGAAAGCATTTTTCATTGCTTAATATATTTTGGAAGATGTCTTCGATTGCTCACTACATTTTATGATGATCAAGTTTTGACCACTAAATTTGTAAAAATGACACCGATCTATTTCTAATTTTCCTACCTAGCATGTCTTTTCCTTCTCCCTTTATCACCCCTTGCTTACTCTAAAATTCGCACACCTTTACTCTCTCCATGTAGCTCCCATGATTTTTCCCCTCCATTGCTACCTTGGAAGGTAAGGAAAGAGGAAAGGGTACAAGACAACTAGGATGCAGGTGTGTTTGAAAACGGACATTTCTCCTTTACAAATTCAAGTTTAATTCCTTTTGCTGTTCAATATTAGTTTTCACACTTAAACGACAAGGCTTTCAAAGTATACTCATCTAATTGTGTGATTGTTGATTTGCTTCAAAGTTCAAACATCTCACTTTATTACTCGTTGTCTGTCATAAGTTACGTACACAAGAAAGGTAAGTAATCAAGCATAACAAAGTTTATCATATCAATTCTTTTCCAAAACATCCAAAATTTATCATCTATCACTTAAGACAAAAATATTCCACTAAAAAAATTCCACCAGAATGCTAAAATCAATAAAAAAAATCATGGAGCAGATACCACCAACTCGCTTGTGCTGATCACATGACGAAGAGGGAGATGGTCTATTCGACACTCTGTCCGGAGTTAGTTTCCTCCCAACCATCAAAGTCTGCTCTCTTTCAAAACACAATCGCTCCAAAGGCGGGTTGAACCACTCCTAGATGGAGGAAGAAGTGTTAAGAATGGAGGAGCATTCATTTTGAAGTAAATTTGCACACAAAATGAAAATGGCAAGAAGGCATGAAGAAATGATTAAAAATAAATAAAAATTCACCTAACCTATATTTTTTTCTTTTCGGTTTTTTATACCTTCTCATAGATGAATTCCATAGATTTTCATATATTTTTTTCTTGCTCCACTCCTATGGATCCATTTTTATCAACCTTGTGCTTCTTTAGACGCTTGTCAGTTTGTTGCATATACATCAAATAATCTGCAAAAGTTGTTGCCTTTGCGGCTCTCTACAAGTAGTCCTTCAGAATTCGATTTTTGAAACCTGATTTGAAAAAGTTCTGATACATGTGCCACAAATGGAATCAATGTTCAGCAGCCAGAAACAAAGTGTTAAGCACATTCTGAAGGCCCTTTTTGACGATCTGTCATGAAAGTCAATTCATTAATGTCATCAATACCAAGGTCATTTACTAGGTGCTGCACAAGCCATAGCTACCCTTCTATATTCTCCTGCTCAACTAACGCGTAAGCAATTGGCTAAATGCAATCATTTGTATCATATGCAACTACTGTGAGCATCAACCCCCGTACTTTTCCCTTAATTAGCACATGTTCAATTCAATTACTGACCTACAACCCTTCAAAAACCCCTACTTACATGCTTCAAAACAAATGTATATTCCTTGAAAAACCCGCTTCTTTAACGCAATAAATACAATAGACCATCGGTTCGACCACAAAGCCTCAATAGCATATGATCGAAGCATTCGAAATTGCTCTTTGAGATTGCCTTCCGAAAATAACATTGCATGCCATCACATCCTTAATACAATATTTGACTTATATTCGACTTTAGATCTTGCTTCACATGGCAAATTATACTTGATGTCTTCCATTCAGGATCCCCTCTAAAAGTCTCCGAGTATCGCTTGGCTAAGAAATCATATACGAGACATCCATTCATCTTATCACGACTACATGTGCGTGCTGCGATCATTTGTTTTATTTGAAATGCATCATACGGGCCAAGGGACGGTCTCAGGTAGACAGTTTCTATGGGGCGTAGGCCTCCCAAAAGGTAACGGAGGCGTGCAAAGGTTTCCTCGGGCCGGACGGAGATTGGCTACTGGTTTTAGATACTAGATATTTCAACCGTATCCTTCCCATTTGCCTTAAATTTCATGTTGTACCTATGCAGTGTCTCGTATAAAATAATCTATCAAACAAAACTTTTAGCCAACCACAAATTGCAAATCTTGCATATCCTTCTCCGCACAAAAGTTCAAAAATCTTGGCCTCGGTACATCTAATAATGAACAGTCAGATAATAAAATGGGTACTCCAAGTCAATTCCTTCATCCACATTTTAATTGTACGTATAGTCCCCCTCATTCATATGATATGTGTTATCAAGGATGATAAACTCTGAATTGTCCTCCGACCCTGTCACCATGATGCATAGCAAAATCAATCCAAAACAAAACATGATATTTCATCCCAAAAAGACCCAAGTATTTGTAGTGTAATTCTTCAACAATGAAATCAATGCCCAGAAGAACCAAGCTCAAAGTAATCTCAAATTCAATAATAGGCACACATCACCCTTAGCTCCCTCGATTTTAACCCTCATTTTCCCTTCATCAAATGTTCTACCCACCACTACCACTATGACCACCAACATGGACACAATCACCACCACTATCGTCAACACCATCATGGTCCTAGTAATGACAATTCTAATGACAGCCAAAAAAGAAAGTAACATTTAGCTATTTATTGTACGACATCTTGGTCTTCCTTTCTTCTTCTTTGATGATTGGGTACTGGCCTTCTAGCCTTCTTTTCCATAGTAAATGGGTAGGGTTCGAGGAAAAGAATTTGGGGGTTTTTTTGGAGAGGGGAGAGGGGGTTGGAGATCTTCGATTTGGGGGCTTTGGAATGAACGAGTATGGTTTCAAATTTGTAGTTAATTGTTTTTAGCCATTTCTCATTTTCACCAAAATAAAAACGTGTTGACGAAAACATGCGTTTCTTATCTGGTAAATTGTTCTTACATGATTGGTGATGTCACTTATTCATTCCATCAGTCGTATCACCAATTTTATTAAGGTCTCATTTGACTTTCATTATTTCAAATGATAATTTTTTCTCTTATTTTTAATCACGCAATCTCCCATAAAATAATATTTCACGTAAATCGAAATTTTTTTTTCTTTTTTAATTACACATTCTTCAAAAAATATTATTCCAAAAATTATTAATTGAAAAAGTGGGAACCAAACGGGAGCTAGAATTGTGAAACAATGTCCCGTCAATGAGTAACGTCCAAAAATTTGACAAGTTTATCGATCAAATTTTGATATCTAAAATTTTAGTGAAGAATTGAAGACAAACATGAGTGATTATTGGGGCTATTGACTCCCCAAATTATCTCTACCTAAAAATTCTTGTTGATTTTAAATATGGGTCCCGCAAAATCCAAAGAAAATAAAATACAACAAACAATTCTGGTAACAAATATTTTCTAAAGAATTTTGTTTTATTTTAACATATATCCAATTATACAATTTCCACTCCCCTTTGAGGCACGAACTATTAGAATTTGTAACAATGGATTTCTGGCAAAGAGCTCGGACCTTCGCCGAGGAAGCCGCTAAGCGATCGCAGGAGCTGACACAAGGAATCGGCTCCACCAATTTCTCCGATGTAGTATCCGAGGCGTCGAAACGGTCCATGGAGTTAGCCGCCGAGGTGTCAAATAAGTCCAAGGAAATTGCCGTTGAGGCAGCGAAGAAGTCGAAAGAGATCGCTTCTGAAGCGTCGAAGAAGTCGAAGGAAATAGCTGATCAGATCAAGTTTCAGATTCCACCGGTCGCCGCCGTGGCACTGACTCACCTGGTAGACTCAGGTCAGAAGGGAAATGATGTTGATCTGGAGAAGTACGGGGTTACCGATGAGCTGCGGGAGTTTGTGAAGGGGATGACTATGAATACTTTTGAGGATTTTCCGCTTGAAGGTATTGTACTCTAATGTGCTGCTTGATCTTATTCGATTGGTTTATAATTCAAAGCTCTGTATGTTCAATATACCGTGTGATTGGCATTGTTAATATTAGTGGATGTCCTTTTCGCTTAAGAACTGATTCCATTAAGTTCAAGGAATTTGTAATATAAAATCATTATGCATATGCCGTTACGCTAACCGATTCTAATAAGCTCAAGGAATTTCATTGTCCTTTTTATCGTTTAAAATAATTCAAGGAATCTGTATACATATGCCATTACGCTAAACGCTAATTGATTATTGGTTCCAAATGCCCCTTTTTAAAGCCATTTGCTGTTAGAACTCTGAAGTACTCATGAAATTTGTTTGCTTTCTCATTCTTCTAGAAAACGACTTTGGCCAATGCCTGGGCTTCAAAATGAACTGCTCTGAGAAATTTGTGGCATTAGCTTTCTGGAATCACTTTTTAGAAGTAAAATTGAAAAATTATAGTTCTTGAAGTATTCATTATTTTCTCAGGGACTTTCAGTACCTGCACTGGGAAACACTATGTTTAACATGAACTTTAAGAATGTCATCTTTGAAATGCCTTTTAATGCAACTTTAGCAACCACCAAAGCACCAAAGCTGTTTATAACCACCGAAGCACTTTTTATCCATACATTTCAAGGGGCCTCAAGTACTACTCATATATCCACCATTCATTTCTATCTATTTTCCATTTATAAACACTTTCCAAGCATGCTTTTAGTTTTATTTGTGATATAACGCCTTCAGGTTGAATGTCAGCGGTACAGGCAGTTGCAATTTAATCTTCTTTCTTTGACGCATTTTCTTCTTTCCTTGCCTTAGCTTCCTGAAAGTCAGATCTAAGATTTTCCTTATCTGGTTTCTTATTTTATCTGGTACACTTGAAACAGGAATGTCTTTCAGTATATAAACTAAGTTGGAAAAATAGATATAGAAATGATAAGGAAATGGCATTGTTTTCATGCAAGTTTCTTATCTAGTAATTTGGTATTGCATTGAAAGATGAAGGCTTGGTGAATGATTAGGAAATGAAAGCAAAATGAATGGAAGTAAGATTAGAAATTGTCCAGCAAAGAAATAAAAAATCGAACAAAGGTAAATGAAAAAGAAATACTGGGTGGAGTTGCCGGTATATTTTACTTGTACTCAGTCAGAAAAAAGGATCCTGCATTTGAATGCAAAGGGCCACCTGTGTGCTACAAAGTCTTAAAGTGTTCTGGCAATCGTGTGTCAGACTTCCAGTGGGTCCTATTTCATTCCTTTGAAATGCTAAGATTAGATTCTAATATTGGAGAAATTTGAAAGACAAATTATAAATTCCATGAGAATTGAGGAAGCTTCTTTACCGAAGTAATTTCTCTGGATGGCATCATCTTCAAAATAAGGGAAGTTCTCTGGTCAGCTCTGAAAATGCAAAGCGATTGCTAAGTTAAGACTATCATTGCAGCACAAAATGAAAAATGGGGTGCCCCCTACATGGAGCTCCACTTTTGAAAGGAGGAAAATGAAATAGATGACCATGGCAACTTTCTGGGTAAGACAAAAGAAAAACAAAAAGATTGTGGCTAGGAATAGGAAAGGAATGGACCATCTTTTGGAGAATCTGGAAAAGTTCTCCAGACATCCTCAGAAGTAGAATTAGGTTACTCAGATTAACATGCATGTTCAATTTCTTTTTCCAATTTTATCGAGTCTTTTTCTTTCACCTGTACTTGATGGTTCATTATGTGAGCAAATTACTGTGAAGACTTTTTAAATAATCTGAAAAGGAGAATAAACACTTGATAGCAGTTGTTATTATACTTTGGTATAAAGGGTTCTTTTTCTTCTTATGCTTTCACTGTCACATTGTCATAGTTGTTGCCTGCCACAAAGTTTGTAACATCAACATATATCTTTTTCGGTGTATTATGGTTTCATGTCACCTTCTGTTGCAAAAGCTTAACTTAACCAGCATTTTTATGTGCAGATGACTTAGAGATGTCAGATATTCCTACTGTTTCAAATGTTCGACAGGATCTCACAGAGTGGCAAGCAACCCATGCCAAGCTTATGCTTGCAACAGTGAAGGTTAGATCTGTATCACCTAAAGTCATACCTGTATTGTTGTCTGAAGTGAGAACTAAGAAATGAAAACCCTGGGAAATTAAATATTTAACGTATCTGTTATGATAGAAAGAGAATATGCAAGTGATCAGTATCACAATATAAAAGTTGAGTCCAAAAGTAACTGCATTAGAACGGTGCAATTGTGCAACCATATTATTTGATGGTGTTTAATTGTTTTGCAGGAAATTTCTAAGCTAAGGTATGAGTTATGCCCAAGAGTGATGAAAGAGAGGAAATTTTGGAGAATCTACTTTATTCTAGTTAACAGTCATGTGACACCGTGAGTACCTCACTTCTATAGGAGAACTTCTATTTTGATTGCTTTGATGAAAATTTTCCACAATGTATAGTCTTGCTCATCATAATTTTTTTTATAAATTTTGAAGCATCTTAAATATGTAGATTCTAAATATGTAGGTAATGCCATATTCTGTTGGTTTATATTACAAATAAAATATAAAAATTTCTTAGAGCTCACAGAGTGTGTAACTTCAATGTATGTATTAGTAAATGGTTGTTTTATTCCCACATACGAGAATGAAGCAAGATTTCTTTTAGGGGCACCACTAGTCTTGAAATTCTATATCAATTTGTGCAAGCTTTGGGACCAAATTATGTAAAGTAGAGAATTGATATTTCAAAATAACTTAAATATCCAACAGACATGAGTAGTTCTTTGTCATGTTTTATAGAAAGGATACTTAATCTCTGATGTAAATATAAGACTATAAACTATTTAACCAAGTCCGTTGTTTGGCTTACTAAAAAAGAAAAGGAAATATTTAGGATTTCATGTGTAAGATACCATTGTGTTTCCTTCATCATTCTTGGATGTAAAGCAATAGAACTAAGTAATGTTATGATAACCTAAAACCAAAACAAAGAAATAATAATACGTTTTCTTAAGCCCAGATATTTTTCTGGTAAAAAAATCATAAATATATGTTGGGGGCCTGGAAAAAAGTGAACCTGTAGTGACGAAACCTAGCAGATGATCTTAAAAGCTTCAGTTATCCTTGATCTTGGTATGCCAAAAACTGGTTTCTTTACTATTTGGAGAGTCTCACTTCTTTTGCATGAGCAAGAATTGAGAGTCACTTGTCATAGAACATGCTATCATGACTCAGACTTTTGGAAGATATAGTTATACCTAGATACATTGTTGATACAAGCTAGCTAATCTAATATAAATTTGATTCAGTTATGTAGAGATAAAGCTTCCTTTGTTCTATAATTTTTTTTGATAGGTAATTATACAATTTTATTAATCAATAGATAATACACGGGAAGTGTATTATCAATTTATACAATAAAGAAATGACACGAAGTTAGGCAACCCTTCTATATGATTAGTAACCGTAGCATTAAATCAAGGACACAAAATCAAATAAAATAATTTTCTGATCTGCTCCATTATTCGTGTTTGGTCTTCCAAACAACAATTGTTCCTTTCTCTTCTCACACACACACACGCCAAACAATACATCCCAGAATAAGATAATTCTTTGATCTACTTTGTTCTATAAGGAGAGATGTCATTATATTTTATTAGAGGGAAGAGTTTTACGAAGGTTGATTGCTGAAAATTTTCAATGCAGGTTACCTGAAGAATTTATCGTTGGTTTTCTCTTGAGTGGGTGGTATAAAATCCTTAGCTAATTACTAGGGAAAGCTAAGGTTAAAGAAATAATGATGCCAAGTTGGGAAAATAAAGCTGAAAGAAATATTCCACCTTGTGTGTGCAACTCCACATTTGAGCTTTATTTTCACCTATTCATATGTTGTGACCACACTAGAGCACAACCAATCTTCAAAAACTGAAAACAAAGGGTTTTTTCTTAAATCAACTGAATGGAAATGGTTCACAAGAATTAGCCTTTTCACTCTCTCCCATTCATGGTGTTTGATGTGTAGAAAGGATTCAGAAGGTATTGATCACATATTGCTACATTGTGATATTGCTGGATTGCTTTAGTGTAAACTTCTTCAGGAAGTTGGTTTTAATCTTGTCTTCCAGCGGAAGTGTATTAAATTGCTCATTGAAAATATAATTAACTTGGGTAAGAGTGAAGAGGGATAATCATAGGGAAATCAACAGTTTCAGCTATATTCGAGTGATTTGGATTGAGAGAATCAATATGATCTTTGAATGAATGGACTTAGAAGTTAGTAAGTTATAAGAAAGATTTATGATTATAAAAAGGATTTCTATGGATAAGGATTTCAACGGCATTTCTTTCCCTTTAATTATCCTTGGAAAATTTTTATTTTCATGTTCTATGTAGTTATGTCTTCGAGAATGTTCCATTGATGATCTTGTTCCAGAAATTACCTTGAGCTTCTAGCTCATTGAATTGGATCATGTTATGAAGTTCATCTAGATTTCATGTTCAGACAAGAATGTAGTTACTGACTTAGTGCGGTTAACACCTAATCACACTATGACGTTGATTGTGTAGGTTTGTTTGGTAACCTCGACCTACTTCATTTTCTAAAGCAAGTACTGTCTTTAGGCTTTTGAACTGCATCACTTGATCTACAGTGAGAAGCCAGGAATGCAGTTCAAAACAGGAATCTCATTGCATTTGGCTTATGTTTGGCTGAATTTTCTGCATTGTTTCTTTCGTGAAGTTGGATGCATGTTCAGCTTAATGCTTGGTCATTATGTGCACAGTATTAAGAATTTCTAATGATGTTAGAATGTAGTTTGATAATGCCCATAAACCTCTCTATGTATCTCTTTGTCTGGGTGTATGCATGCTTGTTTTCTTATGCGTGTATCTCTGAATAAATGGGTCTTGACTTAAATGCTCCAAATTCATTGAATTTGTTGTAGGTATGAAAAAGGGAATATGGAGGAGGTAAAGCTAAAATCTTCAGAAAAGGAGAAAAATGCTGACAGGAAGGAAATTGCATCAGGTGGAACATCTTCTGAAGCAGTATTGGAGGTTTCAAACCAGAAAAGCAATAATGCTAAGTCACCTGCCTCGGAGCAGGATTTAGATGTATTTCTTCTCGGAGATCTCGAGGACAGTGATGATGGTCCAGGTACAGTAAAGGCACTTATTAATGTGTCAGCATTTGATATGCATAGGCAACTAAATTGTTTTGGATCTCTTTTGAATTCTTTCTTTTTTTTTATTTTGGGGGGGGGGGGGGGGGGAATTTCCCCCAGAAAACCAAACCTACTCATGGGGCGCCATGTGTATAATGTTGTTGCCACCCATCTCCACTTGAACTGCTCGACCCACTTATATTAAACTAACTATTGATGAGAGATGGGTAAAAAAATGAAATTTGCGAGAGGATGAAGATGATATCCCTTCCCGATAAATATCAACAAGCGGTAGAAGGGCTAGTGATGCTGGGTGATGGTTGAAGGTTTGAGGTCCATCCGCAATGTGAATTATTCTTTTCTTTTCATTTATGTACACCAAGTGTTTGACAAAATGACCAAACAATTTTCTTAATTTTTCTTACACTACTTGTTGGGAAACCTATTACAAAGGATACTATTTGATGTTTGAACCTAATCTATGTAACAATTGATCAGTTTAAGAATAGGCACTAGCACATGAGCTCAATAGTCATCAGAGATGGCAATTGATCGAATCGAGCTCGATTCGTGTCCAAAAATGTTGCTCCATTCAACCCATGGTCCGTGGGTCTCACTGGCATGACATTCGTTTCAACTGCTCACTAAAATTTTAGATATCGAGTTTTGACTCATGGAATGCACATGTATCGCCAAAACGCCACTACCCAACCAATCACAGCATACCAAATTGTCAAGTGAGAAAGCATTTTTCATTGCTTAATATATTTTGGAAGATGTCTTCGATTGCTCACTACATTTTATGATGATCAAGTTTTGACCACTAAATTTGTAAAAATGACACCGATCTATTTCTAATTTTCCTACCTAGCATGTCTTTTCCTTCTCCCTTTATCACCCCTTGCTTACTCTAAAATTCGCACACCTTTACTCTCTCCATGTAGCTCCCATGATTTTTCCCCTCCATTGCTACCTTGGAAGGTAAGGAAAGAGGAAAGGGTACAAGACAACTAGGATGCAGGTGTGTTTGAAAACGGACATTTCTCCTTTACAAATTCAAGTTTAATTCCTTTTGCTGTTCAATATTAGTTTTCACACTTAAACTACAAGGCTTTCAAAGTATACTCATCTAATTGTGTGATTGTTGATTTGCTTCAAAGTTCAAACATCTCACTTTATTACTCGTTGTCTGTCATAAGTTACGTACACAAGAAAGGTAAGTAATCAAGCATAACAAAGTTTATCATATCAATTCTTTTCCAAAACATCCAAAATTTATCATCTATCACTTAAGACAAAAATATTCCACTAAAAAAATTCCACCAGAATGCTAAAATCAATAAAAAAAATCATGGAGCAGATACCACCAACTCGCTTGTGCTGATCACATGACGAAGAGGGAGATGGTCTATTCGACACTCTGTCCAGAGTTAGTTTCCTCCCAACCATCAAAGTCTGCTCTCTTTCAAAACACAATCGCTCCAAAGGCAGGTTGAACCACTCCTAGATGGAGGAAGAAGTGTTAAGAATGGAGGAGCATTCATTTTGAAGTAAATTTGCACACAAAATGAAAATGGCAAGAAGGCATGAAGAAATGATTAAAAATAAATAAAAATTCACCTAACCTATATTTTTTTCTTTTCGGATTTTTATACCTTCTCATAGATGAATTCCATAGATTTTCATATATTTTTTTCTTGCTCCACTCCTATGGATCCATTTTTATCAACCTTGTGCTTCTTTAGACGCTTGTCAGTTTGTTGCATATACATCAAATAATCTGCAAAAGTTGTTGCCTTTGCGGCTCTCTACAAGTAGTCCTTCAGAATTCGATTTTTGAAACCTGATTTGAAAAAGTTCTGATACATGTGCCACAAATGGAATCAATGTTCAGCAGCCAGAAACAAAGTGTTAAGCACATTCTGAAGGCCCTTTTTGACGATCTGTCATGAAAGTCAATTCATTAATGTCATCAATACCAAGGTCATTTACTAGGTGCTGCACAAGCCATAGCTACCCTTCTATATTCTCCTGCTCAACTAACGCGTAAGCAATTGGCTAAATGCAATCATTTGTATCATATGCAACTACTGTGAGCATCAACCCCCGTACTTTTCCCTTAATTAGCACATGTTCAATTCAATTACTGACCTACAACCCTTCAAAAACCCCTACTTACATGCTTCAAAACAAATGTATATTCCTTGAAAAACCCGCTTCTTTAACGCAATAAATACAATAGACCATCGGTTCGACCACAAAGCCTCAATAGCATATGATCGAAGCATTCGAAATTGCTCTTTGAGATTGCCTTCCGAAAATAACATTGCATGCCATCACATCCTTAATACAATATTTGACTTATATTCGACTTTAGATCTTGCTTCACATGGCAAATTATACTTGATGTCTTCCATTCAGGATCCCCTCTAAAAGTCTCCGAGTATCGCTTGGCTAAGAAATCATATACGAGACATCCATTCATCTTATCACGACTACATGTGCGTGCTGCGATCATTTGTTTTATTTGAAATGCATCATACGGGCCAAGGGACAGTCTCAGGTAGACAGTTTCTATGGGGCGTAGGCCTCCCAAAAGGTAACGGAGGCGTGCAAAGGTTTCCTCGGGCCGGACGGAGATTGGCTACTGGTTTTAGATACTAGATATTTCAACCGTATCCTTCCCATTTGCCTTAAATTTCATGTTGTACCTATGCAGTGTCTCGTATAAAATAATCTATCAAACAAAACTTTTAGCCAACCACAAATTGCAAATCTTGCATATCCTTCTCCGCACAAAAGTTCAAAAATCTTGGCCTCGGTACATCTAATAATGAACAGTCAGATAATAAAATGGGTACTCCAAGTCAATTCCTTCATCCACATTTTAATTGTACGTATAGTCCCCCTCATTCATATGATATGTGTTATCAAGGATGATAAACTCTGAATTGTCCTCCGACCCTGTCACCATGATGCATAGCAAAATCAATCCAAAACAAAACATGATATTTCATCCCAAAAAGACCCAAGTATTTGTAGTGTAATTCTTCAACAATGAAATCAATGCCCAGAAGAACCAAGCTCAAAGTAATCTCAAATTCAATAATAGGCACACATCACCCTTAGCTCCCTCGATTTTAACCCTCATTTTCCCTTCATCAAATGTTCTACCCACCACTACCACTATGACCACCAACATGGACACAATCACCACCACTATCGTCAACACCATCATGGTCCTAGTAATGACAATTCTAATGACAGCCAAAAAAGAAAGTAACATTTAGCTATTTATTGTACGACATCTTGGTCTTCCTTTCTTCTTCTTTGATGATTGGGTACTGGCCTTCTAGCCTTCTTTTCCATAGTAAATGGGTAGGGTTCGAGGAAAAGAATTTGGGGGTTTTTTTGGAGAGGGGAGAGGGGGTTGGAGATCTTCGATTTGGGGGCTTTGGAATGAACGAGTATGGTTTCAAATTTGTAGTTAATTGTTTTTAGCCATTTCTCATTTTCACCAAAATAAAAACGTGTTGACGAAAACATGCGTTTCTTATCTGGTAAATTGTTCTTACATGATTGGTGATGTCACTTATTCATTCCATCAGTCGTATCACCAATTTTATTAAGGTCTCACTTGACTTTCATTATTTCAAATGATAATTTTTTTCTCTTATTTTTAATCACGCAATCTTCCATAAAATAATATTTCACGTAAATCGAAATTTTTTTTTCTTTTTTAATTACACATTCTTCAAAAAATATTATTCCAAAAATTATTAATTGAAAAAGTGGGAACCAAACGGGAGCTAGAATTGTGAAACAATGTCCCGTCAATGAGTAACGTCCAAAAATTTGACAAGTTTATCGATCAAATTTTGATATCTAAAATTTTAGTGAAGAATTGAAGACAAACATGAGTGATTATTGGGGCTATTGACTCCCCAAATTATCTCTACCTAAAAATTCTTGTTGATTTTAAATATGGGTCCCGCAAAATCCAAAGAAAATAAAATACAACAAACAATTCTGGTAACAAATATTTTCTAAAGAATTTTGTTTTATTTTAACATATATCCAATTATACAATTTCCACTCCCCTTTGAGGCACGAACTATTAGAATTTGTAACAATGGATTTCTGGCAAAGAGCTCGGACCTTCGCCGAGGAAGCCGCTAAGCGATCGCAGGAGCTGACACAAGGAATCGGCTCCACCAATTTCTCCGATGTAGTATCCGAGGCGTCGAAACGGTCCATGGAGTTAGCCGCCGAGGTGTCAAATAAGTCCAAGGAAATTGCCGTTGAGGCAGCGAAGAAGTCGAAAGAGATCGCTTCTGAAGCGTCGAAGAAGTCGAAGGAAATAGCTGATCAGATCAAGTTTCAGATTCCACCGGTCGCCGCCGTGGCACTGACTCACCTGGTAGACTCAGGTCAGAAGGGAAATGATGTTGATCTGGAGAAGTACGGGGTTACCGATGAGCTGCGGGAGTTTGTGAAGGGGATGACTATGAATACTTTTGAGGATTTTCCGCTTGAAGGTATTGTACTCTAATGTGCTGCTTGATCTTATTCGATTGGTTTATAATTCAAAGCTCTGTATGTTCAATATACCGTGTGATTGGCATTGTTAATATTAGTGGATGTCCTTTTCGCTTAAGAACTGATTCCATTAAGTTCAAGGAATTTGTAATATAAAATCATTATGCATATGCCGTTACGCTAACCGATTCTAATAAGCTCAAGGAATTTCATTGTCCTTTTTATCGTTTAAAATAATTCAAGGAATCTGTATACATATGCCATTACGCTAAACGCTAATTGATTATTGGTTCCAAATGCCCCTTTTTAAAGCCATTTGCTGTTAGAACTCTGAAGTACTCATGAAATTTGTTTGCTTTCTCATTCTTCTAGAAAACGACTTTGGCCAATGCCTGGGCTTCAAAATGAACTGCTCTGAGAAATTTGTGGCATTAGCTTTCTGGAATCACTTTTTAGAAGTAAAATTGAAAAATTATAGTTCTTGAAGTATTCATTATTTTCTCAGGGACTTTCAGTACCTGCACTGGGAAACACTATGTTTAACATGAACTTTAAGAATGTCATCTTTGAAATGCCTTTTAATGCAACTTTAGCAACCACCAAAGCACCAAAGCTGTTTATAACCACCGAAGCACTTTTTATCCATACATTTCAAGGGGCCTCAAG